TCCGACCGCATGGACAGTTTCCACGAGCTTGTCATTCATATCGGCCACTGCATTGCAATCTTCTAGGCACTGAAAGCGGTTGCGTAACTGGAGCTGAAAGGTTTCGGGATTCCGGATTACAGCACGAGGGGGACGGAGCGTTGACTTCATTAGACGAGACCTCTCCAACTTAACGTTTAGGTTCAGTGTACCTCTAACCATTCGGTGATCGCTTTCAGTTTTCACCCATGCGATCACTGAGACATCACAGAATAGTTGACGTCTGGTCGTCATAATGAAGTCCATCTCGTTTTTTATCGAATTGTCGGGGCTCGAACAGGTCCCCTTTCTGTGGGGCCGCTTCTGGAAGAAAGAGTTCATCATAAAGAGTCCCTCTTTCTCCATAAAGTCGGCCAGCTGCTGGCCCCTACGGTTCCGTTGTCCTTCTCCAAATTTCCCTAACTTCAGCTCACCGCTTTCTCTTGTGCCTAGTTTTGCGTTGAAGTCTCCCATCAACACCGTGTAGTGGATTTTGGAGGAATGCATGGTTTTGGAAATATCCCCATACATTCCCTCTACCTCGGGATGTGCCGACGTTTGTGCGTAAACCTGTATGACCTTCAGCGAATAAATACCGTTTGGTGATTCTGAGTATTAGGTACGCGACCCTCGTCGACACGCTCCCAATCTTTACAACGTTGTTGACGAGATACTTGTTGACGATAAATCCGACACCCCCTTGGGACAGATGGTCGCCCTCCCGGTGATAGAACAAGTTGCCGGACGAGGATTACCGCGTCCTCCACCTCTCTTCGGACCTCGGATAATCCAATCCAATAATATACCAGCGCAACTTGTCTACCCCTTCTTCCAGCTCCAGTATCTTCTCGTTGAGTGTGCGTGCGTTATATGTTGCAGGTCGAGTCGTCGTAGGTGGCAAACGAACTTGCACCGGAGATTCTAGCATCCCCTGCCCCTCCGTTACCATGGTCGCCACCGTAGCCAAGAATAGCGGGGCCGCCGGGGAATGGGGTCCGTTTCTTTGCGTCGTTATTCATGGGGGGGGGGGGGTCGTTATTCATATCGATTTGCCATAGTTGCCACGCGTGGCGAACGGGTTGACAACTGCAGTTTTTATTGTATTATTGTTGTTATCAGGAAGATGCTGCTGCCCATCTCCTGCCTGTCTCCCTCTGTCGCCTCTTACGACACCCACGGGAAAATATGGGGTAGTGGATATTCTTAACCGCCACTACACGGCGACAGGCGATAGTACTAAGGAAACCTTTGTATGATGGGACGTAAAAAGAAAATCGAGGTAAAAAAAAAAAAACATTTTTTACAACGTTTAATTAGCTTTATTCCATCATATAAGTACAGCTAAGTGAAACGATAATTTCATTTAAAAAAATTGTGTAAATACTCAAACATAAACCAGCAGTAAGAATTAAACCTGAAATCAGTTGATTAAGGGGTCAAAAAAGGCGCGGACGCTGAACTCTTTTTATCTAGCTCGGTGCGAAACAATGCAATAGGTATTACTGTATTCACGCTCACTCTATCCTTCCCTTTCACACACGCGCTGCCGCCTCTCGGCCGAATCGTGTCGCCTCGCAATTTACACCTGAACAGCGTTGCCAACATGTGGGGAACTCCCCAAATTAAAAGAATTTAAAATTGGTTGGGGATTTTTTGTGAATTGGTCAAGTCAGAACCTTTTTTTCAAGAAATCTAAATACTTATCACCAAATCTATTGAACATTGAGATCTTTAGAACGCCGCAAACCGCAACTCAATCGATCAAGACGTTGAAAAGTTATGAAAGGTTTACATACATACGTGCGTGCGTGCGTGCGTGCGTGCGTGCGTGTGTGTGTGTGTGTGTGTGCAAGTATGTAAACCTTTCATAACTTTTCAACGTCTTGATCGATTGAGTTGCGGTTTGCGGCGTTCTAAAAATCTCAATGTAGAATAGATTTGGTGACAATATGAACTGATTCTGACGAGTAGATTTTGAAAAATCTTAAAAATAAAAATTTTGAAGAACTGTTTTTTTTTGTAATAACTTTTAAACGGCTTTACCGACCGATTTCAAAAACTAATCAGCTCTTAACCTCAAAAAATGACGTCGAATCCGTTTGGAAAATAAAAATCGGTTCATTCGTTCGTGAGATATCGAAAGAGAAAGAATTTGAAAAAAAAAAACGTTTTTTTTAACATAACTTCGAGATTTCGCAACATAATTTGGTGAACCAATTTTTTGATCTTAATAGCCTCGTGAATAATCCTTGGAAGAAATCGGTGTTATTTAGCGAGGATTTGTGGTCTATCAAATCTTTTGTAGTGACGGGGGCGATCTTGTACGTGATTACAGACTGCAGACTTCCCGGAGCTTCGATTCTTCACATCAGCTATATGTTCTTTAAAGCGGGTTTTAATTGTTCTATTAGTTTATCCTATGTAAGCTAGACCACATTCACAATCAAACTTGTACACTCCTGCATCTTGCAGGGGGACATTAAACTTGACTGATAGTAAATACTGACCAATCTTCTTCGGCGGCTTGCAGTACCTATGTTTTAATGGAAGCGCGCTTCAAGATGTAGCCAATCCTGTCAGTGACTTCTCTGACATATGGCAGTACAGGAGATAACACTCGGGCCGGCTTCACTCATTCCCTGTGAAGTAGGCGCGGAACCTGAAGCTTGCTGTCATACAAAACTTGCTTGACGTGTTTGAGCTCGGCAGCCAGGTGTTTACTGTCACAAAGCCCTCGTGCTCTCTGAAACAAAGATTTATCAACGGTAACTATCTGTGAATGATGGTGGTGAGAATCACCGTTTAAATATCTGTCTACATGGGTCTCTTTTCTATACAACATAGTAAGGCTCAAGGTGTTATCAGGATTCCGAATTACTAACACATCTATATCAACCTGTCGAAGTCTGGAAGTTCATTTTAGTCCGTGGAGTATTTTTAATTCGTTCCCTTGGTGCCATTGAAAAGGACCACAGTAGCTGCATTTACTCTGCTGTAAAATAAAAAAATAAAGAAACGAAAAGCATTAAATTATACACAAGTTGTCAAAAAATCTGAAAATTAATGATCATCTTACGATCATTAAAAAAGGGAGTCATTCGATATTCATAAGTAACTTAACAAAAATGTTAAGATAAGTATTTAGATTTCTTGAAAAGTTTCTGACTTGGCCAATTCACAAAAAATCCCCAACCAATTTTAAATTCTTTTAATTTGGGGAGTTCCCCACATGTTGGCAACGCTGTTCAGGTGTAAATTGCGAGGCGACACGATTCGGCCGAAGGCGGCAGCGCGTGTTTGAAAGGGAGGGGTAGAGTGAGCGTGAATACGGTAATACCTATTGCATTGTTTCACACAGAGCTAAATAAAAAGAGTTCAGCGTCCGCGCGTTTTTTGATCCCATAATCAGCCGATTTCCGGTTTAATTTTCACTGCTGGTTTATGTTTGAGTATTTTGATATTTTTTTTAATGAAATTATCGTTTCATTTAGCTGTACTTATATGATGTACATACCCCATACAGGACACGTGCTTTTCTTATACAAAAGTATTTATAAAGAACCTACATACTATTAAATCTTGGTACGGAACACTTCATTCGCAAGTCCGACTTGCACTTGGCCGGTTTTTTTCCGATTACATTTATGCTTCCATCCTTTAAAACGATAAAAATGTAATAAAATGATTTATACCTCAACGGCAAAATAATGCTTAATTTGAAATTAATAGATTTTCTTATTAAAATTCCATTGGTTTTTACACTGGTTCTTACACTTAAGGTAAAAATATACATTCTTTCCATTATAATCTATTTACGTTTATCTCAAAATGTCAATATGAATATTTATTTAATTAATATTGGGTCCTAACATATGAAATTAGCGTTTTGTCGTACTGACCACTTTGATCTGAAATATCTCCTCTTTGGTTAAGAAATCTCGGTTGTTTAGCAGTTAGTTCTTCCTTCATGGTTTGCAGTTGCTGACAATAGATACGGCATACGTAATCGTTTGGCCAGATTTTAGAAAGCTACACACTGGCGCTAGTCTACCAAACACTCACACGTAACTTTTTCTGCGTCAATTTTCGTTTAGGGCAGGATTTGGCTGGATCTCCAGGGTTCAGTCATTGCGACGAGCACTTCCAATTATCGTACAGTATTTTTCATCACCAGTAATGATTCGATTTAAAATTCCTTCATTTTTATGTCGGTTGAGCAAAGTAACACAGCAGTCAACGCGTGTTTGCAAATTCAATTAACTCAATTCATAGGGTACCAAGCGTTCAAGTTTTTGTACTTTCACGATTTGCTTCAAGTGGAATAATACAGTTTAATCACTTACCTCGAAGCCTGCAGCTATATCTGAAGTGCTTTGTGATGGATCCACTTCCACAATAGCCTTTTATTTTTCATTTTCCACTTTGGTCTCCGGCCGTCCACGTGGTTGGTTCTGAAGGACGAAATCGGTCTAGGCCACTGCTGCTTCACGACAACGTATGACCACACACTGTACAACAAACAACCACTAAGTTAGATGAGCTACAATTGAAATGTCTGCAACATCCACCGTACTCTCCGGACCTTGTTCCAACAGAATACCATTTTTTCTGGAATTCGGACAACTTTTTACAAGGAAAAAATTCAACTCCCATGCGGCAGTCCAAACCGCTTCAAAGAGTTTATTGATTCTCGCCCCCATGTTTTTTTTAGTAAAGGGATCAATGAACTACTTAATAATAATAATAAGGATGAAGGAAGGAAATAATAAGGCGTAGGGAAGTGACGACCCCATCGCCCGCTGACGTAACAGTTATGTGACAAAACTACTACGTCGGCGCAGTCAGTCAGCGCCCTGCCAAGAGGTGTGAGCGCCGTGCCTAGGCAAAATTGTGGGTGCAAAGGTCCGTTTGTGCATAAGACCGAACCACGAAACGGTGCCGGGCTTGGGCGTCTCCCGTTATTTGGCGCCCATAAATGGATGATGGTACAAAGAGGAACGCGCATAGGGCCGCTGCCTGGGGGTCGCCGGGGCGCGTCTGGAGCTGGCGCTGGACGCGGCAGCATGCGGGCCGCCAGCCGAGCGCGAGGAGCTGTACGATCACCTAGCAGCCCTCCGCATCCATCATCCCCACCAGAAGGCTTGGTGTCGGCTGGGTCTTCTCGGACTCAGCAAGCGGCACCCGCCGCTGGTGGAGCACGTCGCATGCGTTGGTCACAAACAATGAACGCAAACGCACTGCGGGCGTACTTTAGGGCAAAAGGGGAAGAAACCGGATGTTTGGCATATCGGGCTCGGATGCATCGCTTTTTTGCAGAGCTGGAGCCATCTCTATCCGTCACTGAGCAAAACCTGGCAGACCGAGTTCGGTACATCCTGAGCTCCAACATATTTGGTGACGCCGAACTCGAACGACTACGACGTGAGGCTGTTCCCTCATCGGATGGAAATGCTACGGCTGGGAATGCGGCGCCACTAATTGCGCAGCAAACTGCAAATGTGGACGCTGCCGTCAATATTCCATTTGTAGTTGATTCAGACGATGATGGAATAGTCCCCCACGAACTAGAGAAAATGAGGAGCATATTGGAAGAGTCGATGCTGGAAACGCGCAGCATGCCTCTCGAAAATCGACCGCGACTTCCCCGCATACCCCTTAGCAAGCGAAATCGGGCTGTCGTGCGGGCTCTTAACCCAATGCTGGTGACCTATTTGGAAGCCAGCCGGGACCTTTGCGAGACGGACTCTATTCTTTTTGGCGCCGCACTGGCAGTATGCCGTATTATTGGCGCCAAACTTCCCATGGCTGGACGTGCTACTCAACAAGGTAGTGCCATCCCAGCCTGGAGAAAAAGAATCGAGGACCGTATCGCAAAGGCAAGGGCCCTTATCGGCAGACTGACAAGCTTCAGGTCGGGTAATATTAGACCGAGAGTTGTGCGCACCGTTAGAATGGCGTTTGCTGGGACAAATATTAGTTTGTCCCAGCCGGATATCACGCAGAAACTAACGGAGCGCATAGATGACCTGAAGCAAAAAATCGCTGCTTGGGGGGAAGCGGATTCGACGATTTAGCGAGAGGTCAAGGCGGTTCAACCAAAATCGTCTCTTCCAGAGTGATCAGAAGAGGCTCTATAAATCATTGGAGTGACCAGAGGTATGTGGAGCGGGCCCAGGACCGGATCAGGCTGACACTGTCGCATTTTGGCGTGGCCTGTGGTCAGAGCCCGTAAACCACAGCGAGGGCCCTTGGATGGAAGTTGTGGCGAGCCGGAGTGCAAGTGTTACGCCTATGGACCCCGTCACCATAACGCCTGAAGACGTGGCTGAGGCGGTCCGTAGGGCCCCGAACTGGAAAAGTCCGGGGCTCGACGGACTGCATCATTACTGGCTGAAGGGGTTCGTAGTGTGTCACGCTGTGCTCGCCCGACAGTATCAAGAGGCTCTCGATCAGAAGTCGCTCCCGAGCCTCTTCACTACTGGGATCACTCACTTGGTTCCTAAAGATCAGGATACCACAGACCCGAGCAAATACCGCCCCATCACGTGTCTACCCACTATATATAAGACACTGACATCCATTTTGAGCGCGAGAATCACTCGTCACCTGGAGCTAAATAAGGTGATGTCACGCGCTCAAAATGGATGTCGGGGCGGTGGTCGTGGAACCAAGGAACCACTCCTCATTGACGCGGTCATTGGCAAAGTGGTAAAACGCAACCGTCGGAACTTCTCCGCCGCCTGGATAGACTACAGAAAAGCATTCGACTCGGTGCCCCATGCATGGCTAAAGAGGGTCCTCGAGCTGTACAAGATTGACTGTACAGTTAGAGACTTCCTCGAGCAGTGTATGGGGCAGTGGAGTACGATCCTCTGTTATCAGGGCGAGCGGATGATGGCTGCGGAGAACCACATAAGGATAAGAAGGGGTATCTTCCAGGGCGATTGTCTGAGTCCAATCTGGTTCTGCCTCTCTCTGAACCCTCTCAGTACCTTACTGGAGGGCTCCGGGAGAGGATTTCAGCTACGGAAAGGAGGAACAAAAGTGACCCACCTTTTCTATATGGATGACCTCAAGTTATTCGCCTCCAGTCGCTCCCATCTTATGGAATTGCTAAACATCACTTGTGAATTTAGCAATTCCATTGGAATGGAGCTGGGGACGGATAAGTGTGCGGTCCTTCATGTTGAAAGGGGAAGGGTTGCTAACTCTGAGGGCATAGATTTATCTATGCCCGTCAACTTAAAGACCCTTTCCGAGGCTGAAACATACCGATACCTGGGTATGTCACAGAACATCGGTATCGATGAGGCTGGTGTGAAACAGTCAGTTTGGGACGTGTTTTATGTACCCTTGACCAAAATGCTTAACAGCCTTTTGTCCGTGTGAATAAAACACACGCATATAACAGTTGGGTCATGCCTGTCCTCATATATACCTTTGGCATACTCAGGTGGACTCAGACCGAACTTAACGCCCTGGATAGAAAAGTCCGCACTACCATGACGTCCCATAGGATGCATCATCCGAGATCGTCGGTAATGAGGCTGTACTTGCCGCGAAAGCATGGTGGGCGTGGTTTTATGAGCGCGCTCACCATGCATAATCGCGAAGTGTGCAGCCTCCGTGATTACTTCCTGGCGAGATCGGATGATCCATTCTATAATGACGTCATTTCTAGTGATAAAGGGCTTACCCCTCTATCCTTAGCCCACGAGCAATGGCAGGACCCAGCAGTGCTTAGCATTTCCGACCGGGAGACCGTATGGAAGGAGAAGGAGCTCCACGGGAGGTACTACAGGGCTCTTCATGAGCCCTTCGTAGATACAGTCGCCTCCCTCAACTGGCTACGTTTCGGTGACCTCTTCGGGGAAACCGAGGGTTTTGTCTGTGCAATACAGGATCAGGTTATTAAGACCAATAACTATCGGAGATACATCCTAAAGGATGGCACCGTCGACGTCTGTCGAGCTTGTCGCCATCCCGGTGAATCACTTAGGCATGTTATCTCCGGTTGTTCGGCGCTTTCTAACTCTGAGTACTTGCACAGGCACAACCTAGTAGCCAGAATTCTACACCAGGAGCTCGCTCTGAAATATGGTCTCGTGGACCGGAAATTGCCGTATTACAAGTACTTGCCGGAAGCCGTGCTCGAAAATGACCGCGCCAGGCTCTACTGGGACCGGGCCATCATCACAGACAGGACTATTCTTGCGAATAAGCCTGATATTGTGCTGATGGACCGGGCACAGTCAAGGATATTTTTGGTCGACATTACCATTCCGTATGACGAGAACCTCGTGAAAGCCGAAACAGACAAGCAAACAAAATATCTGGACCTGGCTCACGAGGTGACCGACATGTGGGGTGGTCTGCCGACCGAAATTATTCCTGTAGTCGTCTCTGCAAACGGGCTAATCCCAGTCAGCCTCTCGGGTCATCTGAGGCGACTGGGACTACGTGGCGGACCGCTCCGGGCTCAAATTCAGAAGGCGGTGCTCCTCGATACCGCCCGCATCGTCCGCCGGTTTCTTTCCCTTTCCCCCTAACCCTCGGCCGTTTGGTCTCCCCTGCCGAGGGCCTCCATCTGGTTGGGCTTTTATTTATTTAAGTATTTTTATATTTATTTTATGTTATTGATATTTATGTATATTTATCTTTTCATTCTCATTTATAATTATATATTTATAGAACCCAACCAGATGAGAAAACTATATAGATACCCCACAATAATAATAATGTCCTCCAGACCGAATTTCGGTCACGGCGACCTGCCTCAACGGAGACTAGTCATCGGCGCAGGACAGGATTATAGTGCCCAAGCGTATGCGCAAGCACAGGTGCACTCTATTTCCTCACTCTCATAATCCGATGGGACGGTAAACCGACACGACCGGAGAGAGATCAGGCACAGGACCAACGGCTTTACGTGCTTTCCGAGACACGGGGGTGAGACACCACCAACTTCATAACTCCAGGCAGCTACTGAGAATTTCTTGACGGAAAAACTCAATAATTGATTTTTTGGCCCGACCCGGGATTCGAAGCCAGTACCCCGTGATCAGCAATCGCACTATTACAACCACTAGACCAATGAGACAGTCAATGAACTACCTATGAGATGGCAAAGGTGCATAGATAACAACGGTGCATACTTTGATTAATTAAATATATTTTACAAAAAAATTGACTTTATAATCCTCCCGTACAAAATCCTCCCGTATACGTTATTAAATAATAGGTCCTATTATTTAATAACGTATACGGGACATATGAAATTGGCGATTTGTACTGAAGTAATACATTGAGAAGTATATTAGGGCTGACCATGAATGATAGGCGAAGAAATTGTGTGATAAGAAAAAAGTGTTTTGCAAGAGGTTGTTGTAACAAGGAAAGGAATGCTTCGGTGGTTTAGACACTTAGGAAGAACTAATGAGGAAATAAAGACAAAGTAAATTTGCGTTGCAGAAGTGAGTGAGAAAGTCGGCAGGGAACGCCCTATACGGATGTCTATCGACCAACTTGGCGACATATTGAAGATATGCTAAAAGAAGATATTCCACTGCTGCGCACAGGTTCTGAGATAGTTGTAGAGCGATTAGTAGGTTGCGCTGTTACAGCGCGTGGTGGCGGATCTTACATGCCCTCGTCAGTGTCACCGCCGAGCACGTGGTAAAGGTGGACTTAAACACAAATGGGTATGTGAAGGAGATGCATATTGTTTAGGTATTGTGGGGTACCGATTTCTGCATTTGACCTTGAAGCAAAATCGATCGCAGAAACGACACAGGAGTAGTGAAAACTACAAAAGCAATAAAAAATTCTAATTTCGGTTGGTAGAATACACCAATCTTCGTTCCCATAGGTAATAATCATCTGATTACGATAATTTGTGTGTCCGGGCACACCAAGTATTATTATAAAATGCTAGCTAGCTTCTTGGTGCTACCCAAACTTTGTGTTTCTTAGTAACCGTATGTAAATGTGTTTAAAATCTCAACAGCAGATATCAAAACCGTTGTAAATGTTAACGGTTTTTAATTAGAACATCCGATATCGTACAATTAACTGAATGAATTAGTTTCTGATGTTCACTAAATATATTGTTTTAATATATTTTTAATGACTACCAAATTATGCATATTTTATAATTATCTATGTTTAATGATGATGATAAACATTGTGTACTTATTTCTTGTTTAACCAAATGGCGATGATTTACCTATATTATTGACACATACATTGTCTGATTTTCAAATAATAACTTTGAGATGTTTGTCGTACACGGGGCAGTACAGTTCCTCTAGAAAGAGTAAAATTTTCTTCTTTTGTGGGTTAAGAGACCAGGTTGGCAAACTCCATTGCAGCAGAAATGTTATCTTATTTTAATTCGAATTCAAGTGAGATATTCATTTGTTTGCCTTGTGTTGACTCCGGATTTGCAAGTGTTGCAACATTTTCTTTGGTCTGGTTCTCACTGTTAATATTATTAATTCTGTTATTGGTTATTTTTAGATGACTGAATCCAAAATTTCGCGAATAATTCTCATAGCTTAGCTGTCACTCCGCTAGTTTTTTTATGAAACTAAAGTGAACAATGAATTACATTCCCTCTGATGGCTACTGCCGCCTATGGACGCCTTTACATGAGGAGGACTACAGATGCGTTGCCACCTCTGAGGACTAAGACGGAATGCCTCACAGCCAGTATTATACTGGCTCGTAACAGAGCTAGCAATAATATTTGGCAGGAGAAATAGGTAACAGGCTTTGTGGGATGCGGTCAAGTGAACTGGGGTGTCTGGTTCAAGAGATGAGAACAGTACTCCATGTGAGGGTGAACTTGCGCCTTGAAATGTTGCAAACAGTGTGCTGGCATAGAATACTGTCCCGCCCTGCTGAGCACGCCAAGCTTTTTGGGGGCCAAATTAGCCTTCCCTTTCAAGTAACCACGGAAGTGTACGGCATACAACTTAACGAGTAGTCTGATGCTGGCTGAGACAGCATGTAGCATACCACAAAATTGAGGAGATACGTCAAAGGGGATCTTTTAAGTAGTAAACGCGAACCT